CACCCTTTTGGGTGCTCGGACCCTAAAAATTAACTCAGTAACATACCAGTGCAAATACAGATAGACAACGTACACAGGCTGGAGGTCACATGACCGCCGCTGTCCAATCAGACTGCAGTCCTGTAGAACCAACATGGCGGCTCGGCTGCAAACTTTCGCTTTTATTGCAAAAACCGTAAGTATTTCTGAAAACATTTGAGCCAAGAAATGAGCGATGTAGCAGCTGAATCTGTCCTCGTTTTAGTTCAACAGCGGCTAGTTTAGCTGTTTTACGAAAGTTTTGCGAGTCGTCAGACCTCCGCCCCCCGTGCCTCATTTGCATAAAGTAGATTTGACTTCGACTTTATGTAAATGAGCTGCAGGCAGCTCGCGGGCTGCGACACTCCAGACCTGCACGATGATCCTGTGGACACAAAGCTCCCCCTGCTGGAACAACCAGGTACTACAGCTGCTCTGCGATACTAGAAATGTGTATTTCCTGGAAAAACTGTTCCAACAAATAGTAAATATGAAGTTTATTAAATTAAACCACTGCCCTATAAACACTATATACCAGACACACTATAAGCAGCCGTCCTGATTGGCTCCAGCTTGATTGAACGCTTGGACGTCATGAACCTCCACAGAAGTCTTCATCACGCTGCCCCTTGACTCGCTAAACTCCCACAATGCTCTCTGTTTAACTACAGCTGATCTACATACCTGATGTGTGCATTAATGAGAAAATCAGCAAATACAACAACGATTATTTATTCATAATGAACAGCTGTTAGCCAGCTGACAGGAACTTCATCTGCAGCTATTTTAATTAACCGTTTCGGTCTTTTTTAAGCAAAGAAAAATTAAATTTTCTGATTCCAGCTTCGTCACACGTGAACATTTGTTGCTTTTGTTTGTCGTACATCAGAATAAACTGAACCTCTTTGAGCTTCAGACCTTTAACGGTGTCACTTTGGGACGTGGGAACCTTTAACAGGCTGCATTTTTTAAAACTTAATCAACAAAGAAAACCTGTTCTGTGTTTCCTGTTCCATGTTCAGGACGGTCCGGATCACAGCTGGAGTTTAACGGCATAAAGAGCATGTTGGTCCGTAGCAGCGGCCTGATTTCGGCCTCCGACCTCCCACAGTCGTACATCCTGAAAGCTCCCGTTTGCAACAGCTGACATTAATGCAAACACACGCTCAGGTTGGAGGCGAAGCTTCGGTTCAAACCAGCTGCTTTCTGTTCACGTCGCTCGGCTTCCAGACAAACAGCAGCTTTTATTGTGTCGCTGTTCTGAACCATAAAAAGAGAAACATCATAAAACTGCAGCTTCTCATTTAAAACAACAAATGAAACGTGACATTCAGGACTTATTGGGCATCAAGGGGCCGAATTAAAGGAGCTAAACGTTGAACCAGAGCTGCAGCTGGTGGTCGTTGATCGAATATGTTGATCGTTTTCTGGATCAATAATCAGCTGTTTGGTCTAAATAAAATTAAATAAATAAAGAATAGAGAAACATGTGGATCAGAGTTTCCTCAGACGTCTGGTTTAGTCCAGAGATGTTCAGTTTACTGCCAGAGGAGGAAAGAACCCAGAAAATATTCACTGAAGAACCTGAAATCACAGAACTGTTATGAATGAGTCAAACTGATCAGTTATCAGAATAGTTATCAATTATTACTACAAATAATCAACTGGAGTATTGTGGTCAAGCTCGTTACATCCAGAGTCACAGGAGAGCTAACTGGAGAAGCTACGATGCTAAGCTAATCAAAGAGCTAACTGGAAAAACTACAGTGCTAAGCTAATT